TTCGGCTTCTCACACGACACGTCTCAGGGGCTACACCAGCCAAGATGCCTCTCAGGGGAGGCCATTTTGCTTCTGGGCACCACAGGGTGTAAAAGTGGCCAGCCCGGTAGGCTATAGGGGACAGGCCCCATGTCCCAGCCCCCCCAGCTAGCCAGTCCCCAGCCTGAGGCTGGATGGGAACCAGCACCCCCTAGAGGTGACAGGCCCCTGCCCCATTCCCCATCCCCTTTGAAGCCCCAGTGGGGAGTGGGAAGCGTGTGGCTGGGGTGGGGACATGAAACGCTGGCAGGTGTTGGGGGGCGCGGTTGTTGTCACAGCTGGTGTGCGCAGGGGAAGGTAGGTAAATATAGGGTTGACGTAAGTGACACGTGGTAAATGTGTGTGTCACTGCTGGATCCGGGAGTGCTGGCTGGAGCTACACCTTTAGTGTGGGAGAGGGCCTGGGAGCTGGGATGCCTGGGTTCTCTCCCCGGCTCTGCGAGGGGACTGGGGTCTGAAGGGTTAGAGCTGGGGCAGGGCTGGGAGCCAGGACTCCTGGGTTCCCACCTCCCCCTAGTGAGAGGAATCACTGACTCTACAAGGATTTCCTGGATAAAGATAAAACCTCTTTTATTTAAATAGATTTTTCTTCCTCTCAATCCTGTACAGAATTGGTCTGAATCTCACGCTGGCACCGGGGTCCCCTGCATCGGGGCCCGTTAAGCAGCTTAGATACGATACCTCAGTCTCAGCCCAGCAAGCCACACCTTAGGGAGCATGGGAGGGGCTGGAAATGGGGGGGCTAGAGCCCCCCCAAGCCTCATCCCCCCCTCATGGGCTGGTACTGAGGGGAGCCCAGCTCACGCCAATACACAAGTATTTACACATACAGAGACACGGCTGATCCTCGACAGGGACCAGAATCCAAACCTCTAGCGGGGGAGGGGAGGAAACTGGGAGCCAGGACTTCTGGGTTCTTTCCCCAGTTCTGGGAGGGGAGTTGGGTCTAGTGGTTAGAAGGGGGGGGGAAGCTGGGAGCCAGGACTCCTGGGTTCTCTCCCCAGCTCTAGACACCTGTAAAACCAGGTCAACTCTGATCTCAGCTGGCCACAGGCCCAGCTGCCCGAGGCTGAAGTGTTCCCCATGGGGGTGGGTCCCCCTCCCGGCAGGGAGACACGGGGTAAATCCAAGTCTTTCAGCAGCTGCTGTTGCCAGCGGTGCCCCTAGGGGGCGCCGGGTTCTGCGGCTCCTCCTCCGGCTGGAACTGGGGATCAGGCTGCAGCCAGGGGTGTTGGAGAAGCTGCTCCAGCGTGGGTCGGTCTGAGGGCTCTGGGGACAGGCACCATCGGATCACATCCTGGCAGCCTAAGGGGAACGAGCAAGGAGGTTAGAGAGAACCCAGGAGTCCTGGCTCCCAGACCCCACCCAACTGATCATTTTGGACATCCAGAGAAATTTAAAAAAAAAGGGGGGGGGGGGAGTGTGAAAGAATGAAAAGAGAGGTGTCAGGGTGCAGTACCCCAGGGGGCCACAGGGGGCAGCGCTGGGCGTAGGGGGGCAGCACTGGGCATGGGGGGCAGGAGGTGGCCAGTGAGGGCACTGCTGGGTACAGGGGGGCAGCGCTGGGCATAGGGGGCTGGAGGGGATAGTGCTGGGCATAGGGGGCAGGAAGGGGCCAGCAGGGGGCACAGGGGGGCTACGTTGGGCGCAGGGGGCCAGCGCTGGGCACGGGGGGGCAGGAGGGAGTCAGCGGGGGGCGCTCACCCTCAGGCAGGGGCTCCGGGAAGTGGAGCCGCGCGGCCAGGATCTCCTCGTCGCGCTGGAAGGGGACGTCACCACAGGCCATGTCGTAGAGCAGGACCCCCAGGGACCAGACGGCGGCCGGCAGCACGTGGTATTGCTGCAGCCCCACCCACTCCGGCGGGCTGTACACACGGGTGCCTGGAGGGGGCGCAGGGGTAAGCGGTGCTGCCTCCCAGAGCCGGGAGAGAACCCAGGCGTCCGGGCT